TCTGCATCAGGTCCTGGAACCAATCTCCCACAAATACTGAGAGATAACTGTATATGGATTTGGGTATCCTCAGACTAAGCATACCTCTAACTTTTTTCTCCTGAGACTTAAAACCCTCAAAATTCCTTCCTCAGAAGTGCCCTTTTCTGTCATAGCAAACACAGTACTAGGAATACCCTATTTCAATTTTTAAAGCATTAAATGGGCACGTTCAGACTGGCATGAGAACCACCTCAGTATTGAGATTAAAATTTTTTTCCATGGAACGTGGGAAAGGAATATTGTTGCCCCAGAAACAGTTGCTTCCTCCAGCTAAGGTTTTAGCAGCTGCTGCCTTCTGGAACATTAGGAAAAGGGAATGAGGTATTTGAGCAAACAGTCTCACCGCTCTTTGGGCTCTGGTCATTCATTGTGAGATCATCAGTGTCTGTGTTTACCCATGAGGGGCAGCCAGGTGCTATGAAGGATGGGTATAAAATAAAACCTTTTTTCAAAGGGGAATGAGAAAGTAAGACACCTGTAGAACAGTTCACAGTGATTTGAATCCAGCCAGAGACACAGGTATTAGGTATTCATTTTGGCTGGTGTACCTTGGTCATTCTCGTAGTTGGTGTTCAACAGGGACTCCCAACTGGTTGTGTTGAAGAGCGATTCTCAAATGTGGCAGCACATTGGAATCACTTGGGAAACCTTTTTAAAAATATTGATGCCAGAGTCCTGCTCCTAGAAATTGGAATTTAACTGGTCTGGATGTGGCCTGTGTGTTGTTTTTTGTTTGTTTTAAGGTACTCTGGTGATTCCAATATGCAGAGTTTGAAATCTGCTTTTCCAGGGCAATGCTTCTCAAACTTTAGTATGCATAAACATCACCTGGACGACTTATAAAAACAGATTTCTAGACCCCAACCCCAGAAATTCTGAAGGTTTGAAGAGGGGCCTGAAAATTTCACTTCCATGAAGCTCCTAGCTGAGACTAAATAGCATGTTCTAGACTTCAGAGTGTGTGGTATTGGTCTCTGTGTGTTTGGCACACAGTAACTAATCAGCAGTTGTCAAATGAATATGGGTGTCTATTTGTTTCTCTTTAGGCTGAAGCCCAGGGTGCCAGCAGAGGAAACCTGCTGTGGCATATAGGGTGTCCTGAGGGGAGAGGAGGTCCATTATGGGGAGTGTGATTAGGGAAGGGGCAATCCTTCCTCGTATGTGAGAGGGTCCAGACCTTGCCCTGGACCCAACTGGAAAGAGCCTCTGTATCCCAGGTCCCACCATGGGGAAGACCAACAGCAAGCTGGTCCCCGAGGTACTGGAAGACCTGGTTCAGAACACGGAGTTCAGCAAGCAGGAGCTGAAGCAGTGGTACGAGGGCTTCCTGAAGGACTGCCCCAGTGGCATCCTCTATTTGTTTCTCAAAATCTAATGTTCATATGAATCACCTGGATACCTCATTAAATACAGATTCAGATTCTATGGTCTGGAGTGGGAATTCATAGTCTGCATTTCTAACAAGCTCCCAGGTAATGTCTACCATGCCCTACCTGCAGTATCAGCATTACCTGGGAAATTGTTAGAGCTGCACATTCTCAGGCTCCATCCATACCTACTAGAATCAGTGGGGTTCAGTAATCTGTATCTCAAATCCTTCAGCTGATTTTGATACACACTAAAGTTTGAGAACCTCTACTCATAAGATTAACTAGGCTGGACATAGTGGCTCACGGCTGTAATCCTAGCACTTTGGGAGGAAATTGACTTGAGCCCAGGAGTTTGAGAGCAGTGTGGGCAACATAGCGAGACCTCATCTCTACAAAAAATTAAAAAATTAGAGTGTGGTGGCGTGCTCCTGTAGTCCCAACTACTCAGGAAGCTAAGGGGGATCACCTGATCTCAGTAAGTTACAGCTGCGGTGAGCTGTGATCATGCTATTGCACTCCAGCCTAGGAGGCAACGGAGTAAGACCCTAACTAAAAAAAAATTAACTAGCCACTTGCCAGTTTGAGCCATAGAAACAGCTGTGAGGTTTCATCTTGACTTCCTGCTAAGGCCCTGGGGACACAGAACTGGTCAACCAGGGACAAGCTGCAACTTTGGCCAGAGGGTTAAGGGCTGTTTTCTTTGGTTTATATGTTTTTAATCATCATCTGCCAGAGGATGGAAAATTTCTGGCTTGGATGTCTGGGGCAATATATTCTCTCTCTTTGAGAGAGAAAATGAAGGTCTTAATAATGATACTAAAAATTGTTTATGCTTTCATTTGTTATAATTGCAGAATAAAACAAAACCACATCAAGTACTTCAGGCTTTTTTAAAAAATTACTTTTTACATTGGTCTTTTATTTCTGTTGTATATAATAAGATCATATTTTTATATGTTTTAATCAGCATTTATACTGTAGGGAGGTAAAAGTAGTTGACCTACAGGGACAAAGTTGTAGGAAGAAACATTTGGGAGTTGTTTTCTGATTTAGGTACATCTCTCATGTCTCAAAGTCCCTACCGCCCACCTCTACCTTAGGTACCTCTCTGACATCAAATTCTGTTTCTCTTCCATCATTCACTCTGTTCTGGCCACACTGGCCTCCTCTTTGTAGGACCTAGAGCCATTTTACGGCCTTTGAACTTACTATTATTTCTGTTTGGAATATTTTCCATCAGACAGCTGCCTCCCTAAGGGGTCTCTAAAAGCATTTGCTCTTTAAAGGAACCAGAGCCCCTTGGAGAATATGTGATTCCAAGTCAGAGACAGGAAACATTTAAAATGAGTCTGGGAACATCTTGTCAGAGAGTAAGGAGCTATAATGACCACTGAAGATGTGCTGAAAAGACTCAGAAGCCAGCTTAGAAGGGTTCCCAGTGACTAAAGATGGGAACATTTGAGCATTAAAAAGAGTAACTGACTGGGCATGGTGGCTCATGCCTGTAATCCCAACACTTTGGGAGGCAGAGGTGAGAGGATTGCCTGAGCCTAGGCGTTCAAGACCAGCCTGGGCAACTTGGTAAGACCTTGGCTCTACAATTAAAATAAAAAAATTAGCTGCGTGTGGCGGCTTGTGCCTATAGTTCCAGCTACTTGAAAGGAAGGCTGAGGCGGAAGGATCGCCTGAACTCAGCAGGTCAAGGCTGTGGTGGCCATGAGTGTACCACTGCCCTCCAGCCTGGGTAACAAAGTGAGACTCTAACTCAAAAAAAAAAAAAAAGAATAACTGAAATGGACTAGAACACATCACGTGTTAAAATGCAAGAATTTCTTATGCTACTTTGAAACCAAAAGTCACCTGTAGATGTTGCAAGAAAACCACTTTATTCATTTTAAAACTGGCAAATAAAGAAAGAACCAAGATATCTGAACCTTAGGATAACCAAATAGTTAATGTAAAAAAGACTACCACCATTTTGCAACCCCTAATGAAATAATGGATCTTCATAACAATCACCATTGTCTGTTAAAAACATTTGATGGCTAGACGCAGTGGCTCACGCCTGTAATCCCAGTACTTTGGGAGGCAGAGGCGAGAGGATTGCCTGAGTCCAAGGGTTCAAGATCAGCCTGGGCAACTTGGCGAGACCTTGTCTCTACAATAAATAAAAAAATTAGCCAGGCATGGTGGCACACACCTGTAGTTCCAGCTACTTGGAGAACTGAGGTGGAAAAATCGCCTGAGCTCAGCAGGTTGAGGCTGGGGTAGCCATGAGCATGCCTCTGCACTTCAGCCTGGACAACAGAGTGAGACTCTGACTCAAAAAAAAACAAAAACAAAAAAATTAGATGAATGATTGAACTTTATAACAGGTAAATCAGATTGATAGCTCCTATTGATCAATCTTAATATCATAAAAAGACAAAGTTGATGTATGCACCAGTACCACCTAAGATATATTCTTTTTGTTTGTTTTTTGAGTTGGAGTCTCACTCTGTCACCCAGGCTGGAGTGCAGTGGCACCCTCACAGCCACCCCTGCGTCGACCCACTGGGCTACTGTGATCCTTCCAACTCTGTCTTCCAAGTAGCCGGAACGACAGGTATGCACTACCATGCCCGGCTAATTTTTTATTTATTGTATAGAGACGAGGTCTCACCAAGTTGCCCAGGCTGGTCTTGAACCCGCGGGCTCAGGCAATTCACTTGCTTCGGCCTCCCAAAGTGCTGGGATTACAGGCTGAGCCACCAAGCCCAACCAATATTGTATATATAAATATATATTTAAACTTACACATAATTCATAACTACATCTATCATTGATTTCTAAGTGGAGAATTATGGCTTGGAAGGAACACAGCTTTCCAGAGCCACTGGCTGGTCATTGCAGCCCCTACCCAGGGTTTACCAGAATAGTATTGGCAACTTGGTGACCTGGTTTATCACTTCTGGGAAGTAGCTAATCTTTACCTAAACAACCCAGGTGCCATAATATATTATGTTGCCACCATAGCATTATTGTTATGATATGACACATGTGAGAAGTACTTATGTAAAATTTACAGCTGATAAAATTTTTATATGGTAAATTCCTAATTTCCCAATCAATGAAACATTTATATTTTAACATAGGACCAAGTGGCCAGGCACAGTGGCGCAAACCTGTAATCCCAGCACTTTGGGAGTCTAAGGCAGGAGGATTGCTTGAGCCCAGGAGTTTTCAGCCTAGGTATTATAGCGATACCTCATCTCTACAAAAAGAAATTAGCTGGGCATTAGTGGCCCCTGCTTATAGTCCCAGCTACTTGGGAGGCTGAGGTGGAAAGATCCCCTGAGCCCAGGAGGTCGAGGCTGTGGTAAGCCGAGATCATGCCACTGCAGTCCAGCCTGGGTGACCGAGTGAGACCCCCAACTGAAAAAATAGCACCAAGCACAGCACCTTAAAAATAGCATATGTATTTTATATATAGTATATTTATTTTCTAAATGGGCTAATTTTTATAAATCAAATATATAGCTTACAGGCATTTCTCATTTTGAGAAAACATTAAATTTTCCTTCTTTGAAATGTTTTTCTCTTTTCTAGGAAGTTGTTTTAGGTTATGTGAAAGAGATGCTTCCTCATCTTTAAGGCTTACCAGAAACACTGATACGAAGAGAATAAATGGATTTTGCACCAAACCACAGGAAAGTCCCAGGGCTCCATCCCGTAAGTTTTTATTGATTTTCCATCTATGGCGTAGGTAGCTCTCAAAGAGGATGACCACTTGGAATCAAAAGAACCTAAAAGTGGGGTTCCTGCATCATACCCCCTCCTGTAGTTCATGCCTCCTATATTCTTATATAGGTTGTGCCCACATGCACACTGATTTCTTCATTTTCCTCGTTTGTCATTTTCATCTCTTTCTTGCTGCAAGACTTTCTCTAGAAGTCTGGATACACCAAAGTACATAGTGGTGTAGAGATTATCTTTGAAAAAACCCCAAAGATCAGCCTAATTAAAGAATTATGTTTTGGGTAAAATATAACCGGGTCTAAGCTCTGACTTGGGTATTGACTTCGTCCACATCAGTCCTATTCCTAACTCAAACCCTTGTCACTGTCATCACTGTGGTAAGAAAGGGCATAATATATGAACTGCTGGGTTCTGGGTAATATTTGCCTGTTGCTTCTTCATGGGAGTATACTTGGGCCAGGCAGGTCTTGGTGGTGCATTCTCAGAAGATATTTATCAAGAGTAAAAATAAATATGCCCTTTAAGCTGGTATTTCAGTTCCAGGATCTATCCTAAGCATAATCACTATATGTGGAAAAAGTTTTGAGTATAAAGATGCTCCTGTTTTTAATATATAATCAAAAAATTAGAAATAAATCTGTCAAATAGGAAATTATTAGTTAACGTATGATGGATCTACTTGACAATCAGATATTATGCTGCTGTTGAAAACAGTGCTAATAAATACTATGTACTCCCCTACCTTGAGGAGGTGAATCTTCTCTCTCTAATTTTTCTAGATAAGCTATATTTTCCAATCTAAATAAATAAACAAATACTATATACTGGTATGGGAAATGTTTATTATAATGTTAGTGAACAAAGGAGGATACAGAATTTTGTATTGTGGGTAAGCACAAGCATAATACATACATAGAAATTACACACATATACATATATACACACATGCTCATACTCATGGGGATAAAACTTAGGAAACGCATCAAAATTAAAATATAGTGGTTATGTGATAACAATAAAATTAGGGGTAGCTTTTTTTCCACATCTGTACTTTCTAGATTGTCTTTAATGTGTATGTGTTATCTAAAAAAGCAAAAAAAACCCGTAAGGAGCATTGTGCCAAGTGTTGCAAGGATTAAAAGCTAAGGCTATGGCAGCACTATTTCTGTACTTCTAAACTTGTTTTCCTGCATTTGGTTCTTTCTGAATTTCTTTGTGACTTTCCTGTTCCTTTTGATGAGGTGAAAGCGACAGCACAAGCAGAGGTGTGGTGATGGGAATGAGTGTGGCAGGTAGGCAACAGTCAAGGAGCTGGGCTGTATGTAAAAGAAATGTCGGCAGTGGATGGAAGCTGGATGGCAGTGATCTCTGAGGTCCCACTTCACCCCTACTCTGTGACTCCCTGGCTTTTTCTGTTGTCTTCATGACTTCCCCTGTCTTTGAAGACTTTCCCTTAGACTTTGGTTCTGTACTTGCTTGTTCACTGCCTCACTTGTACACTCCATTTTCCTCTGCTGCCTCTTTCTCCTGTCCCCTTCCCACGTCCCATGGCTTAGCCGTGGCCTTCTGCTCCTCCTTATCACCCTCACTGGCTCTCCCTTTACAGTGATGCTTATCTCTACTCCCAGTTAAGGAAACTTACTCAGATGGCATCAGTTCCCTTCAGATTCAGCCAATCTTGCTGGGTGTGGTGGCTCATGCCTGTAATCCCAACACTTAGGGAGGCAGAGGCGAGAGGATTGCCTGAGCCCAGGGGTTTGAGACCAGCCTATTAAAGGTGAGATCTCGTCTCTATTAATTAAAAAAATTAGGGCAACCTTCTCGGGTCACCTCCCACTCTGGAGGCTTTTCTGTCCTCTCAGTAAATCTTACTTTCCCTTACGCCAAAAAATTAGCCAGGCATGCTGGTATGCACTTGTAGTTCCAGCTAGTTGGAAGGCTGAGGCGGAAGGACCGCCTGAGCCCGGCAGGTCAAGGCTGCAGTGGCCATGAGTGTGCCAATGTATGCCAGCCAGCCTGGGTGACAGAGTGAGACTCCTACTCAAAAACAATTTTAAAATAGCGTTCATGTGTTTTCCTTCCCTACCTGGTTCTTTTCAGTCTTCTTGTGGTTAACAGTACTGCTGTTGTCTCAGCCATTTAAGTGTGCAGTGTCCTCCGTCTTTGTCTTACGTTAATCAGTCTCCAGATTCTTTGAGCCATCCTCTAATTGACTTTCTCATCTCTCTTCCCACCACTAGCACTGTAGTTCAGACCATGTTGCCTTCTCCTTGTTATCACAATCTCCTACATGGACTTTTTAGCCACTTACCCTTACCCCCCTTCTCTCTTCCATCCATTGTACAGATTTCTCTTCCTACAATATTAACTTCTTCCATGCTTCAGAATGTACAGTAGTTCCCAAATCAGGTCTCACCCTCTTAGTCTGGTGTTCAAGGTCTTTGGAATCTGATCATACCTTACAAACTTTTCCTTATTTTGCTGAAGTCAGATAAGCTTCTCACTGTTCCCTTCTTAGTTCATCTTACCTTTATATCTTTGTTCATGGTGTTCTTTCCATTTTCAATGGGTAGGGATTATATTGAGAAATAATGCTTTTATTTTACCTCAGTCCTCAAGGAATTTTGGAAACTCATTTGGAAAATGAGGCATCCTAAGAAATTCCAGTAAAATAAAGTTCTTTGAGGTTTCTCAGTGTTTCTGTTTAGTGACTAGCTGAAAAGCACAAACAGCATTTTTCTGTTGTTAAATTTGAGTCATAATCTCAAATAAGATTTCTTGTCTGGTTTTTCTCATAGACACTTACAGCCACAGAGTGCCTTTACACAAACCTACGGATTGGGAGAAAAAAATCCTGATATGGTCAGGTCGCTTCAAAAAGGAAGATGAAATCCCAGAGACTGTCTCGTGAGTGCTAACTTAGGGTTGTAAACAGCTTTCATTTCACTGACCTGTTTTAAGGGAAAAGCAATTCCTTTGAGTTCAGACTGTTTAAAACCTTTCAACCAAATTTGAAAACATTTTTCACTTCTCTAAATGTTTCAACTTTGGTAAGTACTTGGCATAAAAACAGTGCTGGAAAACTGTCTTACCACTTGTAACATGCAGAGAGCTGTCAGGTACTCTGAAGTCAACTGATTGTTTGATTTCATCTCCTAGTTACAGAAATGTGACTTTTTAAAGTTTGTTTTTAAACTGGGTATACAAATCCGGTATAGTGACAATAACTATAGTCTACAAAACCCACTTAAGAATTCAGCCTTAGGTATACAAGTATTTCAGTGCAATACTCTCTCTTTCTGGGATTCAGGAAAAAGTGCCTCCTGTCACCAACTTTCTTAAACCTAAGAAGGGATCTTGGCTGGGATCTTGGGACTTTTTCAGAATTTGTAGATGATGAGTGCAGGTCCCTCCAACCCAGGGTTTCTCCATCTTAATACTATTGACATTTTTGACCAAATTAAGTCTTTGTTGCAGGGGCTTGTCCTGTGTATTGTTGGATGTTTAGCAGCATCCCAGGCCTCTACCACCTACATGCCAGTAGTACTCCCTCAGCACTCAGTGGTGAGTCAGAAATGTCTTTACACATTACCAAATGTCCCCCGGGGAACAAAACCATCCTGGGTTGAGAACCAGTATCCTAGCCTCATGTTAAAGACCCTCTTGGTATTTTGCCCAAGAGAGACTCAGAAATAAATGCTATCTCCCTTGTGGGGCATCATCCTACTCAGGGACAGAGACTTTGGACAAGGCTCTTGGGTGTTCTCTTTTAGCAAGAAACTATTCCTGGACCTTTTGGCCTCTGGTTACAAGTCATGATTGGAAAAGACCTAGGTTTGTTCAGGATGGCTTTCCCAGGAAGCTAGAATTTTCTTTCATTTTCTTTTTTTTTTTGAGTTGGAGTCTCACTCTGTTACCCAGACTGGAGTGCAGTGGCCGCTCCCGGCCACCGCAGCCTCGACCTGCTGGGCTCCGGCGATCCTTCCGCCTCAACCTTCCAAGTAGCTGGAATTATAGGCATGCACTACCATGCCCGGCTGATTTTTTGATTTATTCTAGAGATGAGGTCTCGCTGCCCAGGTGGGTCTCGATCTTTCTTTTTTTTTGAGATGGAGTCTCATTCTATCACCCAGGCTGGAGTACAGTGATACACTCACGGCTACCTCAGCCTCGACCTACCAGGCTTAGACGAACCTTCCACCTCTGTGTTACAAGTAGCTGGAACTACAGGCGTGCGCTCCCATGCCCAGCTTATTTTTTTATTTATTATAGAGACGAGATCTCACCACATTGCCCAGGCTGGTCTCAAATCCCTGGGCTCAGGCAGTCCTCTCACCTTGGCTTCCCAAAGTGCTGGGATTAGGCTGAGTCACTGCGCCCGGTCTACAATAGCTTTAATAAAACCTTTTTGCTTCTGCCAGGCAAATTAGATAGCACATTATTTTCACTAGAATTATTTCAGCAGGAAAGCCCTGGTTTTTCTCGAGCTTAAGTGACCATGTACTCTTCTGGGAAATAAGAGCATACCAGAAGCCGGGCTCCGTGGCTCAGCCTGTAATCCTGCGCTTTGGGGGGCTGAGGTGAGTGGATTGCCTGAGCCCATGGGTTCAAGACCCGCCAGGGCAACTTGGCGAGACCTCATCTCTACAATAAATCAAAAAATTAGCCGGGCGTGGTAGCACACGCCTGTAGTTCCAGCTACTTAGAAGGCTGAGGCGGAAGGATCACTGGAGCCCAGCAGGTCGAGGCTGAGGTGGCCGGGAGCGTGCCACTGCACTCCAGTCTGGGCGACAGAGTGAGACTCCAACTCAAAAAAAAAAAAAAAAAAGAGCATACCAGAAATAACAATGATACCAAGTTCTTTCCTGTGCCTAATTTCTTCCTGAATATCCCAGCAGAAAATAAGCTGCTATATACCCCTGGTCCTAACAAGTGCAGACTTTGCTATAGAACACTTTCCTTAGTCTGCCTTATAGGTGGTTCCAAGATCCCTGCAGGTCCAAATGCTGCCTAGTAAGTCACCTAGGAAAGCTCTTCTCCAGGCCTGGACAGCTGTTTATCCTTATGCTGGTAGTACTGAGTATTGCTTAACTTGCACATTCTTATTGTTCCCTGTGTGAGGGCTGGCAGCCTTGTGGCCTTATGTAAATGCATTTTACTTTTTTAAGGTTCCCAAATGTAAAATATATCACTTTTCATAAGGATCACAGCACTTCAGTTGGAAATACAATTCACATAAAATACTGTCAACATGGGCAGTTCGTTTATGGTTGGTGGAATCTCAAGTGCTCTTAATTGAGCAATTCACTGTTCTAAGTAGCTGCCACCTGTAGGCCTGGTTTCAGTGCCTGGAGAATACCAGTCCTCATGCTGCATCACAGGTCCCAGCTCTTACATCACTCTATGTATGCTATCAGGGTCCTCTTCCTGCCCACTCGCAGCATGCCAGACCCTTTGCTTCCTTTCAAGCATGTTTTAAGTACCATTACACCCTTCCCCAATTTTAAAAGTAATATATGTTAAATATCTGAGTGGGGGAGGTAAAAAGCACTCCAGTCCCATCATTTAGAGATAGTCACTTCCTATTTACACATCTAGTGAGGAGGCCAGTTCTTTATCCTAGGATCATAAAGGCTCCACATGACCTGCCTTGAGGCTCTACCAGTTACTCAGGTAACAGAACCATGACCACCAGGTACAGTGATATATGCGGCATGAGGAAGGCTTGAGTCCAGGAGTTTGAATCCAGCCTGGGCAACACTGTAAGATCCTATTTCTTAAAAAATTAAAAATGGAACCATGACCCATTACCTACCTGAAAAATCACCAAGGTAGAGTGACCTTCTCTTTAGACCCTTCCAGGTTAGGTCTCTTAGCTTTCATACAAGAATGATGATCCAACTCTCAGCTTTCTGTTAAAGCACATGAATCTGTATTTAGTAGACTAGTTAGAAGAGCTACACTCAAGGCACTTGCCAAAATACACAATCTCAAGCTCACTGCCATTCAATTTTAGCAAAGCATTAGTTTAAAAATAAGGGAGCATTGATTAAAGGATCTTTCTACTGTTTAGCTGTTGTCAAATCTATTCCTAGGTCAAGACAGCAAAAAGCTGAGTGTATGGAGCATGTTAACTCTCTCCCATGTTTCTCTTTCTGAATTGTGTCTTGTGTTGAAATTTATAAAACTCATTGCAGTATCTGTTATCAAGATGTTTTCAGAAAAATATTATATCACATAATATCTTCTTAAAAATCCCAAGGAGAATAGCTACTGGTTTCACTTTTAGCATTCACAGGATGCTAGAAACCTGAGAACCAAAATGGGGCCCACTATAGCAAGCGTAGATTAATATGTCTTGCCTTGCCTTTTTGTTTTGCTTTGTTCTTTTTTGAGTTGGAGTCTCACTCCATTGCCCAGGCTGGAGTGCAGTGGCACACTCATGGCCATTCCAGCGTCAACCTGCTGGGCTTCGGCAATCGTTACTAGTAGCTGGAACTACAGGTGCATGCTACTATGCCCAGCTAATTTTAGATTTACTGTTGAGATGAGATCTCACCAAGTTGCTGGGGCGGGTCTCGAACCCGCGGGCTCAGGCAATCCACTTGCCTCAGCCTCCCAAAGTGCTGGGATTATAGGCTGAGCCACCGAGCCTGGCCTGCTTCGTTCTTTTTTCGACTCTACTATTGTCACGCTTCTTATTTCTTTTTAACGACTTTAAATTTGTGCTATCTTGTTTATTTTATATATAAGTAAAATGAGTTACGAAAATGCTCCATCCTCCCCAAAGTCCTTTGCGCTCTCTAGGCCTTACCTCTTTTTTGTATATATACCACTTTTTTTTTTGTACCACTTTTTACTTCACTTCTAATTTGTACCCAGAGCTTTTTATCCTGCTGCAACTTCAGAAGCAGAAAAATGAATAACTTTCTCTCATGATCTCATTGTATTCTTAGGTTTGAGATGCTTGATGCTGCAAAGAACAAGATCCGGGTAAAGATCAGCTATGTAATGATTGCCTTGACAGTGGCAGGATGTGTCTTGATGGTTATCGAGGGCAAGAAGGTAAGAGTGGGTTTCTCTATAACTCTATATGTTCTCCACAGAGGACCTGGAAGAAACCAGGGACTGATCCTTTTATTTGCTCCCTGAGAAGAGGCTACTTTCTATAATACAGGAGAAATGGTAAGAAACAAAGTAAGACATATGAGGAACAAACCTGAGATATCATGCTTGGGATAAATAGCAAACTCCAACTTTGGCATGGTAAAAAAGAACTAAATTCATTTTGTGTAATGTAAAAAAAAGTGGTTACTATCATAGATGTCATAAATAATGTAAACCAAGAAATATGACACTGGCATATTTAATAACTCTTTGCATATTTATAAGGCACTCTAGGTACAGGAGCTTGTTTATGTTCACATAACTGCCATAATCATGGTGAGCATTCTTATCACGGTTCTTTATTTTATTTTTATTTTTTTTGAGTTGGAGTCTCACTCTGTCGCCCAGACTGGAATGCAGTGTCTGCTCCCTGCCACTGCAGCCTCGACCTGCTGGGCTCTGGTGATCCTTCCGCCTCAGCCTTCCAAGTAGCTGGAACTACAGGCACGCGCTACTACGCCCAGCTAATTTTTTTATTTATTGTAGAGATGAGGTCTTGCCAAGTTGCCCAGGTAGGTCTTGAACCCGCGGACTCAGGCAATTCACTCACCTCAGCCTCCCAAAGCGCGGGATTGCAGGCTGAGCCACGAAGCCCGGCTCATGGTGAGCATTCTTATCACGGTTCTTTATTTGAAGCTCAGCCAAACTAGGCCAAATATCCGAGGACCATAGCTCCTAAGCAGTACGTAGGAATGCAAGTCCAGAAATTGTTGTTTTAACACAGATTATTATTATTTTTTGAGTCAGAGTCTCACTCTGTCACCCAGGCTGGAATGCAGTGGCACAATCACAGCTATTGCAGCCTCAACCTGCTGGGCTCAGGTGATCCTTCTGCTTCAGGTTTTCAAGTAGCTGGGACTACAGGTGTGCACCACCACGCCCAGCTAATTTTTTTATTTATTGTAGAGACGAAGTCTCAAGTTGCCCAAGCTGGTCTTGAACTCCTAGGCTCAGAGTCCTCTCACCTCCGCCTCCCAAAGTTCTGGGATTACAGAAATGAGCCACCATGCCCAGCCAACACAGATTATAATTAATAGCCATCTCTAATTGAATACTCACTGCATTTCAGGTACTTTGCTATTATTTCATTTGAACCTCATTTATAGATGAGGAAAACTGTAGCTTAGAAAGCTTTAGTAACTTGCCAAAGGCCACACATCTCCCTAATGACAGAGCCACAATGTGAACCTAGACCTAAATGCAGTGTAGTAAAATTTCTCCCATTTATTGAGTGTGCTTATTGTGTAGTAGGTACTGTCAAACTCATTTAATCACCCCAATAACCATAAGAATCTAAGAGGTAGTTTATTTTATTACCATGTTTTATAAAGGAGCAACCTGAAGCTTAGAGATATTAAATAATTTCCCCAAACTCACATAGCTAATAAGTTGTGAGATAAAAATTTAGATGCAAGTTTGCAGGTTAAGAAACCTCATACTATATTATCTTTTTATTAAGCTAGTTATTTTTTATATTCAGTAGCCCTTGTAAAATTCTTCTTTTAAATACCATGTCTAATTCTATATGTCACAGCTTCCATGTAGAAAGAGTTGTCTTATAACTATTATCACACACTAAAAAGGTTATTCACACGGCCACTGTTAACTGACTTTCTTATCCTTGGTAACTTCAGAGTAAAAGGAAATTAACTTTTGACTCTCTTTAGAATCTTGCAGTTAAATGGAAATACTGACCACTTTAGACTGACCTCATGGGAATATGAAGGGGCAAATGTGCTGACGTGGGTGAAATTCTCTTGTAAACTGTGTTCCCGTCCCACTTTTTCTTCTGTGCCCCTCTTTGACCTCTTGTGTATAATTCTTAGATTGAAACCTGCAGAAGTGTGTGAACAGGACGCATTGGCTTCTAGAATATTGAGAATTGAGACTGGGTGCAGTGGCTTACACCTATAATCCCAGCACTTTAGAAGGCTGAGACAAGAGCATCACTTGAACCCAGGAATGTGAGACCAGCCTAGGCAGCACAGTGAGACCTCATCTCCACAAAAATCAAAATATTAGCCAAGCATGGTAGCACTGCCTGTAGTCCCACCTACTTGGGAGTCAGAGATGGAAGGATGACCTTAGCCCAAGAGGTTGAGGCTGCAGTGAACTGTGATCATGCCACTGCACTCAAGGTTGGGCAATAGAGTGAGACTCCTGACTCAAAAAAAACACAAAAAAACAACTGAGAAATCAGCATTGCTTTTGTATACTTGATTATACCAGCTGAGTTTAAATAATTCATAAGCAAACTATTCCCCCAGGAACTGTTCTAGCACCATCCAGTGCTATATGCTATATACTTTAGAGAGTTCCTCTTCTGTACTATACCATAAAATGGTAACATTTGCATGTTTTTGAAATTTCCATTTCCAGAAAGTTGGTAAATGCTGCTGGAATGGAGCTTTTGAACTTAATGTTTTGTTCTCACCACCAACTTCCCATTCTCATTCTTCTTCCCCTCCACCCAATTCTTTATATATGAAATTACACAGATGTAAGAACATACCAGTTTAGAGTGCTAGTTTCACTTATTTGTTATACACATGTTGAAACAGGTCTTGTTTATGTAAGCTTTATAGAAATGTAATAGTTCACATGGAGGGAAATGAGAGGAGGACAGTTGACTCCCAACCCAAAGGATAGAGCTGTAGTACAGATACTACTGGGTGTCATCAGTGGTCATATTTTGGTAAAGCCTGGGATTCCCAAAGCTGAATGTTGTGGGCAAAAGAGGAGTGAGGATCTAAAAGGGGTGTGGAAGTATGCGAACGAGACGGGGAAGAAAAAATGGTAGCAACAAAGAAAAGTGAAAGGAGAAAGAAGGGCCATAAGGTATTTAATATAAAAGGTGGGGGGAGAAGGATATGAGAATAAGGTATAAGAGAAAAAGATGTAAAGGGGCCAGAAGGGAAGAGAAGGGGAGGGGTATCCCTTCTCCTTTGTGCTTCGATGGATGGGCTGCTGTTCTCTGAAGCATTGAAGGAAGCTGACGACACATGTAGGGCACTGCTGTGCCAATGTCCAAGCAGCAGACCACTCCATGCCTCTACTGCCCTCATTAACCTGCTGTCATCAGGGCAAGGTAATGACATCCTCCCCTGACTGGCATAAGTAATCACCTGTTCAAATCTGTTTCACTTTAGGCTGCCAAAAGAAACGAGACTTTGACAAGCTTGAACTTAGAAAAGAAAGCTCGTCTGAGAGAGGAAGCAGCTATGAAGGACAAAGCAGAGTAGCAGAGGTATCCATGTTGGCTGGATTTTGAAAATCCTGGAATAATATTGCAACATCAGCCTGTATTTAAAAGAATGTGGATCCATTTCATAAAAGTATGATGTGCACAAACTTTATACCATTTCCTTATTTCTGCTGTAGAGGTACAAATAAATTTTCTTCTAAGAATGACTTGTCTATGCTTTATGGCTTTGATGCAAGTCAAATGCAGCCTCTCAGATTTTTGGAGAAAAATGAAGAATGGAAAATTAAACTGACTTCAACTTGAATATTAACTCTTTAGAGAATCAGGTACTACCATATCTTTTATTCCCATTACCAAAGTGACTTCTCTCCACAGGCCAAAATGACTTCTATTTATTTCTAGCTCTTCTGTGAACACATTTCTGAAGAGATAAAGAAACCAGCTGAGTACAATGCCCAAGTGCCACCTACAGAGCCAGCCCTCCCCCCAAATGCCATGGTGCATGGGAGAGCCCTGAGAAGCAGCCAGACCACACTCTATCTTGGGCATGCTGGCAGACAGAAGCTTTTAGGAGAGCAAGTTTTGAAAACATCCTGACAAGGTGATGAGAGAGGTCTGGCCAGGTGTTTCCAAGGACTTAGAAATTCCAGCATCATGGAGACACTTGGGGCCGGCACAGTCATCTCTTAGTTCCATGACTTAGAATTCTCCACTGGCCCTTTTTTTTCCACCTAAGAAACTAAATTTCACAATTATGAAAATCTAATGTATTTTCGTACTAGTAGTATTTGTACCTAGTATATATCTAATTTACAGTTTTGCCTTTGTGATACCAAGTTGTCTCATAGCTAGGTATGGATACAGGTTTATATTTTAAACATTTCATTTATTTGCACATGCTTCATAAGTATTAATAGATAACAGGTCATTACAGTAGTCAACCCTTAGTTTTGCTTTCAGTGGTTTCAGTTACCTGAGGTGAAAATTCAAATAGTAATTTCCAGAAATAAACAATTCATAAAGTTTTTCTGAGTCTTACTCTGTCACCCAGGCTGGAGTACAGTGGCATGATCACTGCACACCACAGCCTCAACCTCCTGGACTCAGGGGATCCTTCCATCTTAGTCTCCTGAGTTGCTGGGACTACAGGCATGTGCCACCATGCCCAGCTAATTTTTAAATTTTTTTGTAGAGATGAGGTCTTGCTATGTTGCCCAGGCTAGACTGAAATTCCTGGCCTCAAGTGATCCTCTGACCTCAGCTTCCCAAAGTGGTGGGATTATAGGCGTGAGCCACTGTGCTCAGACACAATTAATTGGTAAGTTTTAAATTGCACACCATTCAGAGTAGCATGATAAAATCTCTTGCTGTCCCACTCCATCCACTGGGGACATGAATCATCCCTCTGTCCAGTGTATCCATGCTACCCACTCGTTACTCACTAGCCATTGGAGTTATCAGATTGACTGTCAGTAATCACAGTGCTTGGTTAAAACTCTTATTTTACTTAATGGCCCCAAAATGCATAGTGCTGTGCCTAATAAACTTTATCGCAGGTATGTATGTATAGGAAAAAACATAGCCATCTGGGTTACCAAATCAACTACTGTGATATTACAGTGCTTGTGTTAAGACTCTTACTTAATAATGACCCCAAAGTGCATTGTCCTGTGCCTACTAAACTTTAGCATAGGTTTGTATGTATAGGGAAAAACACAGCCACCTGGGTTACCAAATCAACTATGGTGGTATCACAGTGCTTAAGACTCTTAATGATAGCTCCAAAGTGCATTGTCCTGTGCCTAATAAGCTATCATAGGTATGTATGTATGTATATATAGGGTTGGGTACAATCCAGTTTCAGGCATCCACTGGGGGTCTTGGAAAATATTCCCAGAGGACAAGAGGAGACTACTATATAGTCACCCCAACATGCTAATTCTCAGCAAGTTATAAGATATTATATATATATTAATATGCAGCTGTTTGAGAACTTCGTTCAATAAAATACCCAGTAAAATGTAACACATTACCTATAGCTTCATAATCTATCTGAGATTGTTAATGATGTCTATTTTAATTTGACCTTAGCTGCTCAACTTCTTTGATTTTTATCACTTGCAAATTTATTATCAAAAAACATTGTTTCTTGTACATTTTAGAGGATATATGGGTAAATTTTAATTGGTACTTTTAAAAATAAGTAATCTTTCTTCATAGAACTATATGTTAAAAATACCATTTTTAACTTCTGAAGAGCATTAAAAGTGCTGTATCTTGGAGATTTGCTGTAGCAAAATGTCTTATTAAACTAAAGCTTACAAATGCAACAATGCACTGAGAATTTACATAGTAATTTCTCATTTTGTGTCTTCATATTCAGTAATCTGTGGTGACTACCTCTTTATGGGTTAAATACCAATTTTTTGGCCAGAATTTCAGACCTGCCTGTAACTAACCCTACTTCTCCCAATACCCTCATATACCAACCTCATAACAGTCAGACCCTACCAGTGACTCTAATATCTCATATTTTTCAGAACTTATCAAGAAAATAAAATATAGTGAACACTAATATAAGGTACTATAAACTACAAAAGACAGTTTTGCCCTTACTGCTTTCAGTTGAATTACTGTTGTACTGTTTTTGCCTAATTTCTAGTTTTGTTTTGTTTGTTGGTTGTTTTTTGTTTTTTTTGCATATTTATCATTGCTCCCTAGGTCAAGTGCCAGAAATGATTTTCTACTTTATATTTTCTATAAGCACTGTTTGAATAAAGTTAATATGTGAGGCTATGGTTAGATACTTTTTATTTTTAATCAACATAATGATAGTTTTGGGAATCCGTGTTAAAATTTATTAAAAGCAGGCAAAGAATGAAGGAAGATGTTGTGGTACCATTCATGTCATTCAGCAAACATTACTTCTGAAACCCTTAACTAAATAAGAACCAAGAATACAAAGATTCTCTACACAAAAACCAAACACAAATATACAAAGAGACATAATTCCTGATTCCACAGAGCTCATAATCTACTGGAAACATAGCCCGTGAAAGCATTTCAATACCAATTGGTAAATAATAGAAACAGGAAAACCTAACTCAGCTGTCAGCTGTGGTTGGAGCAGGCAGGCAGGCAGGCAGTGATGGCACAAGTGGTGATTTCTGAACTGAGTTTGAAGCATGGCCAAGAATTACTAGATCAGACACATAACGAAGGAGAGCCATCTTCACCATTTAGATATTTACAGCTTGCTTGAAAATCATAAGACAGCACAATCTGACAAGGTAGTGAGTTCTTTCAGTAAACTCCATTTATAATGTTTTGGTTTTATTTTTCTCAATAAAAACTTTAAAATTTTAGACTCTTAGCCAGGCTCGGTGGCTCAGCCTGTAATCCCGTGCCTTAGGAGGCTGAGGTGAGTGGATTGCCTGAGCCTGCGGGTTCGAGACCTGCCTGGGCAACTTGGCGAGATCTCATCTCTACAGTAAATCAAAAAATTAGCCGGGCATGGTAGCGCGCGCCTGTAGTTCCAGCTACTTGGAAGGCTGAGGCGGAAGGATCGCCGGAGCCCAGCAGGTCGAGGCTGCGGTGGCCGGGAGTGGCCACTGCACTCCAGTCTGGGCGGCAGAGTGAGACTCCAACTCAAAAAAAAAAATTTTAGGCTCTTAAAATAAACCTAACCATGACTTACTTTTCCCAAATTTTCCAGACTTTATGTCACGGATCATTTCATGTTCCATTATGTAGATATCACCAAAAGTGTTCTGTAGCATATGAAACGTATCTCCAATTCTCCATCACCATCCCAGGCTTATTCTCTTGTTCATTGAATCTCCCAAACCCTGGAAGTATTTAAATCTTCCTTGCTCCCTTCACTTAATCAGTAACCTGGTCCTGGTCAACCTTCTAAATATTTCTCATACACTGACCTAGGATCAGTGACAGGAAGAGAATGGGAAGCTATCCAGGAACAGATACATGAGATTAATAATAAGCCTCAAGATTAGAGGTCAGTTTTCAAAAGGAGACATACAAGTGAACAACAAACATGAAAAAATGCTCAACATCGCTAATTAACAGAGAAATGCAAATTAAAACCACAATGAGACATCATCTTACACCAGTCAGAATGGCTATTATTAAAAAGTCTCAGCGCGATGGTTCAAGCCTGTAATTCCAGCACTTTGGGAGGCCAAGGCGAGAAGACTACCTGAGCCCACAGGTTTGAGATCAGCCTGGGCAACATGGTGAGACCTCATCTCTACAATAAAATAAGAAACTAGCCAGGTGTGGTAATGCACACCTGTCGTTCCGGATACTTGGAAGGCTAAGGCAGAAGGATCACGGGAGCCCAGCAGGTCGACGCTGGGGTGGCTGTGAGTGTGCCACTGCACTCCAGTCTGGGTGACTCCAACTCAAAAAAAAGCCAAACATGTTGATGAGGATGCGGTTAAAAGGGAATGCTCACACGCTGTTAGTGGGAATGTAAATTAGTACAACCTCTATGGAAAACAGTATAGAGATTTCTCAGAGAACTAAAACTAGAACAGCCATTCAATCCTGCAATCCTCCTACTGTGTATCTACCCAAAGGAAAAGAAATCATATTTAAAAAGACACTTGCACTTGTATGTTTGCTGTAGCACTATTTTGAGTCAGGGTCTCTGTCAGTAGGCTGGATTCAGCTCACTATCACAGCTCGCTGCAGCCTTAATCTCCTGGGCTCAGGCAATCCTGCCTCCAGCCTCTTAAGTAGCTGGAACTATGCCCAGCTAATTCTTACCACCCCCCCCCCCACCCCACTCCCTAGCTCTTGCTAGGTTGCCTAGGCTGGTCTCCAACTGCTAGGCTCAAGAGATCCTTTGGCCTCAGCCTCCCAAAGTGCCAGGATTACAGGGGTGAGCCATTGCACCTGGTTACTGCAGCACTATTCACAAGCAAAATAATGGAATCAACCCAAGTGTCTGTCAACAGATAATTGGATAAATAAAATGTGAACACACACACTTTGGGGGTGCCCAAAAAATGTATATACATTTTAAGAGATGTTATCTATGTATTACTTTTCAAAATTGAATTGAATTACAGTAGCAATTTGTAGTATGACATTTGCTCAAAAGATGGCATTAATCAAATTGATGCTAGTGTCACCATGCAACAGGCAGAACAAAGACAATGGCAGAAGCACAGTTGTTATTCGAGGAGCACAGGACCATTTTGAAGTGGTATCTGAAATTCAAGAACGTTGTGGAAGTACGACAATGGAGGTGTGAGTATGCAACAGAACCTCCAACATGCCTAACAAATGCACGCAATCATCATAAGTTTGAGATGCATGGTACTGTGTGTGATGTGCACAAGGGACGATCCGGGAGGCCTCACACAGCAACAAGTCCTGCTCCTTCTGCTAAAGTGTTGGAACAGTTTACATGCTCGCCACAGAAGTCTACCAGTGTGCACATGAGACAATAGCAGAACAAACTGCGACACATTCTTAAAACAGCAAAATGGAAAGTTTTCATCCCAAGATTATTCTTCAAATGTGTATACGTTTTTTGGCAACGTGTGTGTGTGTGTGTGTGTGTGTGTGTGTGTGTGTGAATGTATCCCCCCAAAATGGAAAGCTACCCAGGCATTAAAAAAAATCATGATTTTTGCAGCAACATGGATGGAACTTGAAGCCATTAAGTGAAATAACTCAAAAATAGAAAGCTTAAAACCACATGTTGTAAGTGGGAGCTAAACAATGTGTATACGTGGACATAAGTGATGGAATAATAGACACTGAAGACTCCAATATGTGGGAAGATGGAAGGCAGGTGAGGGATGAGAAATTACTGTGTACAATGTACACTATTCATGTGATGATTATACTAAAAGCTCAGACTTCACCAATATGTAATATATCCATGTAACAGAACTGCATTTGTACCTCCCAGATCCATACAAATAAAATAATTTTTAAGGCTGGGTGCGGTGGTTCATGCCTATAATCCCAGCACTTTGGGAGGCCGAGGTGAGAGGATTGCCTGAGCCCATGGGTTCGAGACCAGCCTGGGCAGCTTGGTGAGACCGCATCTCTACAATAAGTTAAAAAATTGGCCGGGCATGGTGACGCATGCCTGTGGTTTCAGCTACTTGGAAGGCTGAGGTGGAAGGATCACCTGAGCCCAGCAGGTTGAGGATGTGAGAGTAGTGAGCGTGCCACTGCTCTCCAGCCTGGGCGAGAGTGAGAGTCCAACTCAAAAAAAAATTTAAAAATTCAAAAAATAATTTTAAAAAATAAATGAAAAAGATTAGAAGCAGCTCTAAGTTCTAGTTGTGATTTTCCAGCTGTCTCATTTTGTAAATGTAGGTTGGAAGTCTCAAAATCTTACAGGTGAAGATAATTTTAAAATGAAATACAAGATCATGCTAAAATTAAAAGAAACCATCTTTTAAAATATCTAAGTTCTTTGCCAGTTTGGCTCTACAACTTGATCTCTAAAGGAATTAGTAGTTACTCAGCCACAGTTTAATTGTTTTGTCATTTTCTAATGCTGCAGATGCTATTATGTTTTCTGTGGGATGACAAGCTGCTGAGATCACAACATCTGTATGACCTTGTAATTTTTGTACAATTTCTTTAGTCTGAAGGTTCCAAATATAAATCAAGTTATCCTCCGAACCAGACACAATCCACTTCCCACCAGTTACTGAAAAATTGGCAAATATGCAGTATTTCTCATTCTTATGACCAGTGTATGTCTTCAGGCATCTGCCTCTGCTATAATCCCACAGTTTAAGAGTATTGTCCAAAGTTGCAGTGAGGATATATTTACCATTTGGAGAAAAATTTACAAAAGACACAGGAGGGTTATCATCATCAACAAGTGTTTTCAAACACTGACCTGATGCAGCATCCCAGATTCTACAGAGACCATCGTAGCTACCTGATACTATCAAGGACCCATTACAATTAAAATTAACAGCAGAAACTGGGTCAGAATGCCCAGACAAAGTCTTGAGGCACGTTCCTGTTTTCACCTCCCATATTTTCACACTCTCATCAAAAGATCCTGAAATGATAAGGTTGGAGGGCGGATTGAAGTTACAGCAAAAGACATAATTACTGTGCCCTTTCAGTGTTTTCAAACATTTTCCGGACCTCACATCCCATATCTTCAGAGTTTTATCATCTGAAGCAGAAACAAGACGACTGGAATCTGAAGACCAGGCAACATCTGATATTTCCAGATTATGACCATATAACGTTTTCTCGTATTTTCCATCATATGCTCCCCAAATTATGATTCGCTTATCAGCAGAAGAACTTGCTAGCCATTCTCCATTAGGACTAAACTTAACTGATGATATCGCTTCCGTATGTCCCACGAGAGTACACTTGAGAGCATAGTTTGGTTTTTCAGGCACTTCCTTGCTCTGATTGCCTGACGAGGAGAGGATCAACTGAGCTTTGGCATCTCCCGACTCCTTCGTTGCCATGGTTCTGGAGTTCCAAGTCAGCAGGTTGGCTAGGCGTCCATCCCTGAACCAGGCAGTCCAGTATTTTGGCTTTCTGCCCAGCAAATAGAGATGAAAACACGAGATTCAAAAATGTACGATTTTAAATTATGATTTCTGGGTCGTCTTCAAATTATACTGAGTCAACAGCACAATTCGGCCTACTTGAGTTTTTCCTTTTTCTTTTGTTACACAGTTGAGAAGTACTATTTAAAGAGTCCCGTGCACTGAGGGCAAGTAGGGCATTCCGTATTTTGTTACGGCTTAAAGCCGTCCAAAGCAGGGCCGGAGCGGAAGGGGGGTCGCTACAGAAAGTATTTTTCACCACCCCTCTCCCCAGCTCCGAAATATCCGAGGACACTGAGCAACCCTACCAGTCAGACAGACGAAGTACTTGAAGATGGATGAACCACCCCTTTAAACAAAAGATTTCAGAAGCTGAAAGAAAACCTATGAAGCCAGTATTAGAAGCCCTGGCCTACAGGTTACTTCCGTACATACCAACAGGTCGGCACTGCATTCAATCTCCGACCAAAGCAGGAAGAGCAGGCCGGCGCATGTGCAGAGGAAGCCCCCCCCACAACTTCCGGGCTAAGATGACCAATGGGAGATGGCCACCTGCGCCTGTGCAAAATGAGGCTCCGGGGTTTCCTTCCGGTCCTTTCGCCCCGCCCTCCAAACACAAACCGCGACCTCCTTGAGTTAGCGGGGCGGGGTTCGTCCCAAACCTGACTGGCTGGTGTGGGGCGCGGTGCATCTTTCCTTCAAAGACCGTTCATTTCTTTTGGAAACGGCCACAGGAAAGGACTGAATTTGCGAAGCCGTAGGCTTAGGCCTACCTTCGACACGTGAACTGCCTAAACTGCACGCATTTGAGAAATGCCGCTCTCGTCGATCCACGCAGACGCCGAGACTCCGTGTAAGCGCCTGCTCCGCGGTCGGCTTCGGTTCTGCTCCCTTTTCTGCTCGGGGGAGACCGGCGTGATGAAGTGTAAGCAAGGGGAGTACAGCAGAATTTATGCCGGATTGTAAACCCTGGCTTGTTTCCCCTGTAAACGTTTCTGAAAGGCTAAGGAACGTGCCTATTAGGGGACATGAGAAGCCTGTCCTTTGCCGAGAGTGTGAAGCAAACGTTTGTCTTAGCACGATTTAAGCTTCCGTAGAAAATGAGTTGGGGTCTCCTTAAAGGCGTTTGAGGTAGATGACAAAGAGTTTGGAGGAATGGAATAAAAGATGGAGAAGGTGACTCTAAAGTAGGCTTTAGAGAGCTTTCTTTTTAAGAAACGATTAGTGGCCATGAAAGTATGTAAACTGCACATGCTATTCAGACACTAAGTTGCTCTTTTAAACAATAATAGGTTTACCAAAAAACGGGACACCTGACTACTTTCCCCAACCTTGCAGTAGCTCCAGAGCCCTGTAAAGCGTTCTGTACGTTTTCCTGGAACCCGAACTGAAATCACGAGGCAGTTATCTCATGATGCCATCACTCAAGAATTAAAAAGCATTTGGAAACAAAGGGTCTTTTCTTGTATGCTTATTAGGGAGAACTGAAAGTCTTCGCCTTTGTAAGACACAACAGGCATAATTAGGTCACTGTGCGTAATAAATTGACTCTTGTAAAAACCTCATCAAAATCGGAAATCTAAACAAGCAGTAGACAAATACTTAATTCTCAGCCAGTGCAAATTAACGGTTATGAACACACCGAGGCAGTCTTGGGGATGAAAAGAGCATGTTTAAAATGGTTCATTTATGTACCTCAGATTACAACTGTTGATCGCAGTTATTAGGTCCGTTAAGGCAAGGTCTTCATGGGCCTCCCCCTTTCACATTTTGAAACCTTTTTCTTCTCCTTCAGTATATCTTAGTTCTGATTAAACCCTGCTTCTTCCCTCTCCTTGCCTCCTCCCATTAGCCTGGACTAGCGTGATGTTTTTGCTGGGAAGCTTTTAAACTCTGCATCCATGAAAAATTGTTTCCGTTTTTATTCGCTCATTAAAAGGTAAATTTATTTTTTATTTGGTCGAAGCCTCACCGTCCTCTCCCCGGTGGAGTGCAGTGGCACTCTCATGGGTATTGCAGCCTCGACCTGATGGGCTCAGGAGATCCTTCTGCCTCAGCCTTCCAAGTAACTGGAACTAGAGGTGCGTGCCACCAAGCTCGGCTAATTTTTTTTTTTTAATTGTAGAGACGAAGTTGCTCCAAGTTGCCCAGGCTAATCTCCAACCCCTGAGTTCAAGCAATCCTCTCACCTCTGCCTCCCAAGGTGCTGGGATTACAGGTGTGAGCCACCACGCCTGGCAAAACATAAATTTGAAAGCATCTGGGAGCACAAAGCCTAGTTACTGTTTCAAAGAATCTGTGTTTTTTCCAATAACTGTTCTATGCACTATTAAAGAAAGGAAATTCAATAAGGTGAACATTTGACATAAGGGCTAGGACGGGGTGTTGGTGCTGGGGTGTAGCCTACTACAAATCTCACAATGGGGGTGGCCACACACTTAAGCATGCATTGTTAGGTGTACCCAGAAATGATTCTTCAGATTTTCCCAAAACTTAAAGAAATTTCCATGATTAAAATCCACTTCTTGATGTCTGGGATTTATTTGCAAATAGCATCAGGAACTTTTGCAAAGAAAATCAAGGCTATGAATATAACTAGTTAAGATGTGTTTATTCATTAGTTAGGTCCTAGTATTAAAATGTAGCCCTAACAGTGTAGTCCTTAGGAATTAGGCCTAAGAATTTTCGTTTACCTTCTTGGGGGGTGAGGGTAATCAGTAACTATTGAGTGTATAGGAGCAGCAAACAAACAGGTAAATACAGAGTGGTAGAGCGGAGATTTGCATCTTGGATTCCCAAGCAAAATTTCTTACTAGTCCCTTTATTAAGTTTCTATTTTTGCTACCATTAATCCTCACTAGACAGGTGATTGAGAAATTTTCCTCCCTGCAGAAATTAACTAGGCCCATAAACATCTTAGAAATGAAGCCTCTCATCTATAGGTTAAAGGTGTATTTTCCCTACCCCTCAGTAGTTTGTAAATATTTTAAATAGACATGTTGCCACAAATAAGGCAATGTTTTTTTTAAAAATTGCAAAACTTTTGGTACGTGGATCACACCTCTAAGGCCTGGGAGTGATTCCCACATTAAGGAATGTATTGACTAACTTCCTTCATAGCCAACTCCTGACTACCAACTCCAGTCCTCAGCATCAAGTATTAATAGGACTGTGCACATCCAGTTGCTTAAGACTACTAACAACTAGTTGAGCTAAATATGGGGTGGCATATAACATCGAAATTGGGACTTTTTTAAGTGAAAGGGGGCACTAAAATAAAAAGGTATTAATTGACCTAAAATATAAACTGGGAATGTCCCCAGCAAATTCGTACAGTCACTGTTGATTTCCCAAGAGGACTCTCCTCATAATCATAACTTAATCTTGGAAAATTCCACATTTTTTGTATGATAGTTTATACCCTGGCCTATCCAGGTCTCTCAAACTAGGTCCTGTTCTCTCCTCACCACTGTGGTCTTTTGGGTTTGTCTTCTCCTTACCCATTGCTTTATGTTACTAATGCTGGGCCCAAATAGTAGATAAAGCATTCTCATTGTGGAACCCCACTGGACTCCACTGGCTTTCTCAGGTTAAATGGATATGGATAAAGAAATTTAAAGAGTAATTTTATTTTTTTGCAGAAACATTCACGATCACACAGTTGACCATATATTGATTTAAAATTAGAGAAAACAATGACGTTTGAAATGCAAGTGAAACGGGCAACAATCATTCAGGCTAGCTTTAATAAGCTTGTAAACCCAGAAATTTTGTACTGTAGATTAAAAAAAAAAAAAACATAGTCTGCAGAAACTAAGGCTATGACTTTTGCTTTAAAACTTTTTTGTTTTCAGAAAAAAAGATATGGCCAGTGGAATCTCTCCAAAAAAAAGAGCAGCAGACATGGAATGAAGAAATACACCATCTTCTGTTCATCTGTCACTTAAAGGAATAGGTAAAGAAATTGTTTTCGTGCAACATACACAATATGTAAAAATGAAAAATCCGTTTCACAGCCTAAGGCAACCATCAGCTTCCACACTGGTTGGCTATAACTCACAAAATTTTTTTCTTAACTTTAAAAAATGCCAGAATAGACTGAAGAGATATTTTTGGTATATATAAACATATGAGGTTGGTTATATATTTGAGTTAGCCTGTAGGAGATACCTATCAGCTATTCTTGGAAGACATTGATTTATGTTTGTTTATAAACATAGACTTCTTCTATGATAATGCTTGCTTTTCTAAACTTGAGGTCAAATCATGTCTCTTTAAGTGCATATAAAACCTTAGATGTGGAGACATAAAGGAATTCTTTTGAATTTTCTCTTGTAATCAACTGCCCTTTACTAATATCACAGATGCATATTCCTTCATTCATAGTTTTTATTGAATGTCTACTGTGTGCAAGGCACTCACTCACCCATGGCCCAGCAGACCACATTCAAATACAAAGAATCATTAGAGCCATTCCAAATCAAAGTGTGAGAACACTTTGAAAAAGGACATAGTAGTCAGAATGACTTGAGGTAAGCAGAAATACTCAACAACCAATACATTAAAAGGTCATCTTAATTTTTGACACTCCTTGGGATAATACTCTTAGGAAGAAGCAGATTGTGTTCAATTCACACCTATAGCACTGCTTTCTAGGGCAGTAATTTGTCACTCCAAAACCTTTCCTTCTTGTTAGTACCTTCTACATTTGCATTAGAATGGAAATATGTTTCTATGAGTTTAGCCATTATGTTACTAAACTCAAAAGCAAACGTTTGCACAGTTTTTTTAAAACCTGTTGTACTTGTCATATAGAATTTTAGCACCACAGAAGGGGAAGGTGTTTGGGCTGAAAGGGCCTACATGCCAGACTATGTAACCTAAAAACAACTTATGCCTGATTTAGGCATTTTAAGGATGTTGATGAGGGAGTGTCAGGAAGAATGGTCCAACAAAAGGACCATCCCAGCTGTGGCTACTGAAAGTTCAGTTCTGGGAATTCCTGGGCACAGAAGTACTGCATGACTACCGCTTTCTTCAAAACACAGAATTTGCAGGGCTTTTCCCCCTTCCTTGAATAGCCAGTATCTAAGGATTGTGACCTTGGGGCAAAGTAATTTCTTATATTCTTGACACTGTCATCTATAATGCAGTGGTAATTAACCACTTCAAAGAGCAGTTGGAGGATTAAATGGTAAGAATGGAAAACCACTAGCCAGGTATGTGGCACACAGCAGATAGTCAAATAAGGACGTTGCCTTTATTTGACCTATAGGAAATACACTGGGAGATGTTTAACCCAGTTGAAAACAGAATGGAATCGCATCTATCTTTAGTTCTTCCTTCTTACCCCAAGCTTCAGAAAAATGTATTTTACGTCCAGTAGCAATGTGATATTTTTAATTAGCATAATTAAATATTATGCATTCTTCTGATGCCTTAGTATCCATTCTTATTATGTGTCCTTTTCTGATAATAAAGCATGTTATAGAACATTCTTTGTATTACAGCCAATTTACTATACTAGTCACATCTGGCCATCAATTACTTTAACTTTTATTTTTTTAAAAATTACTTTAACTTTTGATGATAAAAAAAGAGCCTAAAATATTTCCCAGCTGGGTAGGTATACATTTTTTCACCTCACAACAGAAAGAAATGATCCTATTAATTTGGAATGAAAATAAAAAAATTCAGACTTGAGAGTTCTATATTCAGGCATACCTATCTCTGCAAATGAGCAATTTTGGAATGTGGGAGGTAGCATACAGTATGTAAGTTGAAAGTCAACAATACCCCTTTCTAAAAATGGGTCTCTTTTCTTTACTTAGACACCACAATTTCTACAATACATAAAAAGCCTCAACCCCTTAAACAATTATAATGGTTTTCCTATTGATAAGAAAATTTTCACAAAACTAATTAGCAAGCAAAAAAACCCCCTGACTTGAGGAAAACCTTTTCATAATGCAACCCCAAGTTAGGGGATTAAATAGCTGAAATGTTTATTTAGCACTAGAGAAGTAAATTCAAAGTTGCCTATGGAAGCCATGTACAATAGAAGATTCAGTTGACAAAGTATGCTTTATAAAATATACTTACATATTTCTTAGGCAAAATCATTGGCAACCTGGAATAATTCAGAAAATGACCCAGAGCCCAGTCAGCTGTATCTGGCATATGGAAGAAACAATCTTAGGACAAGAGAGATTTTCAACAGCAGTACAGCTGACAACGGTAAGAGTTTAGAAAGGGTCTTGATCAGTTAGTAACAAGAATGTATATGAAAGTGTTCCACAGAGAACTCTGTTAAATCTCTGCTTTCTTCATATTCATCACCTTGACCTTTCCTGGTATTTCTCAACCCAACCACAGCTATCTGCTGCTGGTCCTTGAGATACCAGGTGCCTTTACATGCTAAATTCTCTCAATGCTTTTTTTCCCCCATCAAAGTTCTCATTACAAAGAATATATTTTTGAAAGTTTGGAACAAGGGAAGAAAAAGAAAAAACAAAGACGCTTTCCCCCAATCAGTATATAAAACTGCAGAAGAATTTTCCTGTGTTGAAATTGCTATGCTTTTATAATGAGCAACACCTTGGTGATAGGGTATTCAACACATTTAAACCAAGCTAACAAATCTGTCAGGCAGATAACCAAAAGTAGGATTGATTAGTTACCCCTTCAAAATGTGATTTCTATTACCAAAAAGGTTATTTTATCAGCACTGACAAGTTCCAACATATCTGAATTATGCTGGTATTTAACATTTAGCCAATTCTAACTTCTATACTTTAAAATTTGGGGGGGTATTAAAAAAATTTTAGTTTAGATCTTGTAGTTCATGAACAACTTCTAGGACAGTAACAAGATAAATTACCCTGTTTTAGACACAAAATAGATCACGTCAGTTAAATAGACTTTGTTTTAATTAACTCATTGAAACACCTCCAATTGCTAGCAAAAATTCCCAATGTACACTACTCTAACATGGGGAAACAACTTTATGTGCTTTATATTCTTCCAAATTTGTTTATAAAATGAAAATTTTAAAACTATCCAATAGAAGGTACATAATTTAAAACATCCTATAGAAATGACATGTTACCAGTAAATTTACAATTTAAAAAACTCAGCCACAAAGAAAGTCAAAGCTAAAAACAAGATTTTTACTATGAATCAGTGCTTCTATTATCCTTCTGAAAGAAGTTATATTTTAATGTGATGTAAAGGCAACATTGAAAGTTCTTCTTTAAATTAACCACCTAATTTATCCCTAAAATTACAAAGAATCAAAGTCTTTTACAGGTCAAGTGCAGTAAACTAAAATGTTCTCTCAGCACAAAGCAGCACTAGAAAAAGTAACAGTTATAGATGGGAGTTGACAACGTTTGCAGTGGCTGCTCCATCAATAACAGACATCAGACGGTATCCATCCCAGAGCACAGACACAACTACAGACTAGATGCGAAGAATGTGTCACACTCTTGGCTGATAAATGTCCTTTGTCTTTGACTCTTTCTAGTTTGAATGAAGTGGGTTTTTTTAAAAGTTTAAATCAGGTCGTGTAAGTCGGCTCCTTAAATAACATCATGATGAGGTATGAGAGCTCTGAAAATCCCTTACATTCAGCAGGATTTACCAGAGATGTATAATAGCTTGTCAGGGGCAACTTCCAAATAGTTTTTACACTTTGGGGTTATAATGAATTCTAAAAGAGGACAAGTCTAAAAAGGTTTAAAAGGGTATGCTCTGAAACAGAAGTGAGCAACTTTTCCCTCGGAATTCATTTTGAACAACACATCAACAAAAAATCTTCTCTGATACTGTATCCCAACATTGAGTTAAGATGGCCAACTAGCACCGAGAAGCCGTATTGAACTCATTTGCAGTTCTCTTGGCAATTAAGCATATTTTTTTCATTCCAGTCCAAGCACAAATGTGGATCACTGAACACAGTACTGGAAGCGCCATTTGCAGGTACAGATTGCAGTCAACATTAAATGAGCCAGAAGGCGGGTGTTTATTGGGGAGGTGGGGAGCATAGGGAGAGTGCAGTACTAGTAGGAGATGAAATAAAATGATTAGGGAACAATAAGGTTATAAGAAAAAGATCACTGTCCTTATTTGAGTTAAGCAGTTCATGTTGAGAAGATGGTTTTTATATAACAATAAGGATGCTACATTAAAGAATCACATGTACAGCATGATTATATTAGAATCTAGCTGCACCTAAGGAAAAAATCCCTAAGTAACGTTTAAAGTATGTGTTATCTGCCAGTCACAGAGGGGAAAAGCACCTAGGGTGAACTCCAATTTAAGAAGGACCTTGATCAGGACCACAAAGCCTGAAACATTTGTTTTAATGCAGAAACACAGCATCTAGTCACACTGGTTTAAGAAAATTAGAGGGTGTTTTTTAAATGTGTTTTTCTTAGCTTTTTTATTGAATTATAGGATATGTTTTTTGATTACTAAAGTATTCTAAACCTTCATACCAGCATTAGATTTGAATCACTTCCAAATCATAATACCAAAGAGAAGCAAAAGCCATACAAATTAATATGCCCCTCTCCTTTCTGCTGTAAGGGAATCTGCAAACCAGTATCACATTTAAAAGTCAAAGTGTTAAGTCTTCAGCATTCCTGACAACTAGAAAGCACATTCACCGAAGGCTGAAGGTGAGGGAGTGGATGGTTTAACTTTAATATCTGAAGAATGGCGCCAATTGAAGAAAAAAAACCATCCAATCTCAGTAAGGATTAATGCAAATTTGGCTAGAAAAAGCCACCAGGTAATCCAAGGGTTCGCTGTGGAAGAACTCATGAAAAGTACTCTGAAGTATACACAACAGGTCTAAACATCTCCCTTGTCGCAAGTAGTTGTGTGAAATTCAAGATAAAGGTTTAGTCTCATCTTTTAATGTCAGTATTTTTTCCCATGTTAAAGGGAATGAGGAGTCCTCTTTTTTTACCCCACACAAAAGGGATCCACATTAATATGTGTATATCCCATGACTCTAATATAAGTGCGGATCTTCAAAGCCTAGAAATTTTTCCATAAGAGTGGGCCGTTCTGGTTACCCTTTTATTAGAAGGGTATTCCACCACAGAGAGCCAGAGGTTTTCCAGATGTGTGTAAGAGAGCAGGTGCGCAAGGCAAGCAAATGAGCGCAAACAGTATTATGGAAAACATTTGAGAAGTTAGCTCCATGAGGACTGTGGGCTCCACAAGAGAACTCGACTGGGTAGCCTGGTCTGACACAGGAACGTGAAAGCAGAGTATTGCTTCAAAGCTGGAAACCTTCCATAGGCGCCTCACACTGTTGGAAGATGTACTGCTGCTGGCTAAGGTCAACCTGGGGTGCAATGCTGCTGTCTTCATCTTCGGTCCTGAAGTAATGCTCAATAAGATCAAAGGCCTTCTGGTAGATCTCCTGATTTTCATGACTCTGTAAGAACTCAATTTTATCCAGACCTAAAATGAAGAATAAAGGAAAATCTTTATTGGAAGTTCTGATCAACTATTTTACCATATGTCTCCTCCTTTCTTGCTGTAAAGGAAGATTCTCTACTTATACCTCCTAAGTATTTTATCAAAGCATAGAAATGACTGCTGAGATTATATCTGAAAGCTAGTATTATAAACATCCTAGCCGGGCTCAGTGGCTCAGCTTGTAATCCCGCGCTTTGGGAGGCTGAGGTGAGTGGATTGCCTGAGGCTGCGGGTTCGAGACCCGCCTGGGCAACTTGGAGAGACCTCAACTCTACAATAAATAAATTAAAAAAAAATTAGCCAGGTGTGGTAGCGCACGCCTGTAGTTCCAGCTACTTGGAAGGCTGAGGCAGAAGGATCGCCGGAGCCCAGCAGGTCAAGGCTGCGGTGGCCAGAAGCAGCTACTGCACTCCAGTCTGGGTGACAGAGACTCCAACTCAAAAAATAAAAATAAATAAAAATAAATAAATAAACTGACATCTTAAGTACATACGCAAATAACATTCAGTCCACAGAAGCAGAAATTTCCACAACAGTCCCATTACATATATTGCCTAGCAGTAGCATTAGTGTTTTTACTGGATTCTGTCTATGGACTAATTCATTCTGGGCCATAAATGTCTTCAATCAAAGCGTCTTACCATAAGCTTCTTCAATCAAAGCACAGTAAGGGTTAATGCCAGTGCCATTCCTTTTGGCTTCTTGTTCTCCAAGCCTCAGAATATTTTCCAAGCCATTTAGGGCAACCTGTACAATCTTAGAGTCCATGACTGTGAGAAGATCACAGAGTGGTTTGATGCATCCCAGTTCTACTAGGTACCTAAATTAATACAAAGAACAATTTTGTCTAATAAAAATTTTAATTTTGTAAAACTTTAATGAAACTGATGAGTTATCCTCAAGCTCACTGCAGAGATTAAAAAAAGTAGGCAATCAGTCAAGCTATACATTGTTGTCATACTACAAACAATTCTATGTCCACAAATCTGGTTAACTTAGATGACGAAATGAACAATTTCTTGAAAGACACAGACTACTGAAACTCACACAAGGCGAGATAACTAATCTGAGTAGGCCAATATTCATTAAAGAAATTGAACCCAGGCCGGGCTCGGTGGCTCAGTCTGTAATCCCAGCACTTTGGCAGGTTGAAGCAAGTGGATTGCCTGAGCCCGCAGGTTCTAGAACAGCCCAGGCAACTTGGCAAGACCTCCTCTACAATAAAATAAAATAAAAATAGCTGGGCGTGGTAGCACACGTCTAGTTCTGGTTACTCGGAAGGCTGAGGCAGAAGGATTGCTGGAGCCCAGATGGTCGACGCTAGGGTGGACGTGAGCATGCGTGCCACTGCACTCCAGTCTGGGCGAAGGAGTGAGACTCCGACTCAAAAAAAAGAAAAAAAGAAATTGAACCCCAAAATTACCTTCTAAAATAGAAAGTACCAGCAGGAGATGGTTTCTCTGGTGAATTCTACCAAATGTTTAAGGACAAAATGATACTAATATTCTATGATCACTTCCAGAAAACAGAAATAGAGGAAATATTTCCTAATGCAATCTATGAGGCCAGCACTTCCCCAACAACAAAACTAAATATATTACAAGAAAATTAAAGCAAAGTATCTCTCATGAACATAAATGTAGAAATCCTAACAAAACATTATTAAATCAACTCCAACAATGACAAAGAAAAGAATTATACACCAAGTGGGATTTATTCCAGGATATGCCAGACTGATCCAACATTTAAATCAACCAATCTTTAAAACTATAATTTAAAAAAAAAAAATTGGCCGGATTCGGTGGCTCAGCTTGTAATCCCAGCACTTTGGGAGGTCAAGGCGAGTGGACTGCCTGAGCCCACGGGTTCAAGACTAGCCTGGGCAACTTGGCAAGACCTTGTCTCTACAATAAATCAAAAATTAACTGGCCATGGTAACACACGCCTGTAGTTCCTGGTACTTGGAAGGCTGAGGTGGAAGGATCACGGAGCCCAGCAGGTAGGTGCTGGTGTGGCCGTGAATGTGCCTGAGCAAAAGAGTGAGACTCCAACTCAAAAGAAAAAAAAAAAAAAACCAACCAATATAATCAAGGCAAAAGGCCTAAAGCAGTCAATACAATACTGAAGAACAAAGTTGGAGGACTGACATTACCTGACTTAATTATATTAATAATATTTATACTCATATATTTACATTTAATTATATTAATATTTATATAAATAAAGCTACAGTAAACAAGACAGCGTTATTAGCAAAAGAAGCAAATAAACCAATGTAAAAGAACAGAGAGCCTTGAAATACACCTACACAAAAACAGTCAACTGAACTTTGACAGAAAAGCAAAGGCATTTTAACAGAGAAGGGACTGTCTTTTCAACAAACAATGCTAAATCAATCAAACATCCTATACAAAATTAATGAACTCAGACACAGACTTTACTTAGATCTGTCACAAAAATCAACTCAAAATGTATCATAGATCTAAATGCAGAACTGTAAAACTCCTAAAAGACAACAGGAGAAAATCTAGCTAACCTTGGGTTTGGTGATGAGTTCTTAGAACAACAGCAAAGAACAATGCATGAAAAGACTGATAACTTCAACTTCATTAAAATGTAAAATTTCTACTCTGTAATAGTCACTGCTAGGAGAATGAAAAGACAGACCACAACCTGGAAGAAAAAAATTTATAGAATACTTATCTGATAAAAGACTGATATTTAAAATACAGAAAGAACTATTATAACTCAACAGTAAGCCTCCACCACTAAATACTGGGAAGAGGAGAACCTATTCAGTAAATGTGCTGGGAAAACTGGCAGAAGACTAAAACAAGACCCCTACCTATCCCCACACACAAAAAATCAACTCTAAATGGATCAAAAACCTAAACATAAAACCTCAAACTATTAAGAACCTTAGAAAATGCAAGAGACACCCTTATGGATATTGGACGTGGCAACCAATTCCTGATCAAAACCCCAAGTGCTCCATGCCATAAGAGATAACATAGACAAGGGGGACCTCACCAAACTGATAAGCCTCTGCAAAGCCAAAGAAACCATCAAGAGAGCAGGGAGACAGCCCACCGACTGGGAAAAAATATTTGCCAACTGTATGTCTGACAAAGGCCTAACATTTAGGATCTACAAGGAACTCAAACGGGCCGAAAAGAAAAAAACAGCCCCATTACAAAGTGGCAAAAATATGAATAGACAGTTCCCAACACAAGAAATATGAGCAGCCAACAGATACATGAAAAAATGTTCAGCCTCACTAGTCATCAAAGAAATGCAAATTAAAACTACACTGAGATACCAACCTAACTCCAGTCAGGATGGCCATCATCAATAACTCAAAAAATAACAGATGCTGGAGAGGATGTGGCAAAAAGGGAATACTTCTACACTGTTGATGGGAGTGGAAACTAGTACAGCCTCTGTGGAAAACAGTGTAGCGATTCCTAAAAGTTCTAAAAATTGACCTTCCATATGACCCCGCAATTCCCCTTCTGGGAATATACCCAGAAGAACTCAAATCAGTCTATAAAAAAGATACCTGCACACGTATGTTTATTGCAGTATTGTTCACATGAGCAAAAACATGGAACTAACCGTGCTGCTCATCAAAAAGAGGACTAGATTTTTAAAATGTGCATATACGCTGGAGTGTTACGCAGCCATAAAGAACAAAATCATGAACTTCACAGCAACCTGGATGAACTTAGAGTCTATAATATTGAGTGATCTTTCATAGAAACAAAGAACTGAGTATCACATGTTCTCACTCATAAGTGAACCTTGAACAACTAAAATAATACTGTAAGAAAAGGATTGGCAATAGCAGGAAACTGCGGGGGAAGGTGGGACTGGCAGTCTGCCTGGGGAAGGGTGGCACACCTCATCAACAAAGGTACCTGCATAATGAATATTTGTATACCTAACCCTGAATTGTACCCCACATCTTTAAAATAAAAAATTAAAAGTTAAAAAACCTCAGAATATGAAAACCCCAATTATAACTTTGACGAAGATATGAACAGACACCTCAACAAAGAAAATAAACAGCAAATTAAGATATGAAACAATATCATATGACTTTAGGGAACTACAAATTTAAACAACAATGAGATACCACTCCATACCTATTAGATGTGCTAAAATAAAACACTGACAATACCGAATGCTAGAATAGAAAGGATGCACAGCAACATCATTTACTGCTGGTGAGAATGTGAAACAGGATAATCTTCTTTGGAAGAAAGCCTGGCAGTTTCTTAACAAAGCTAAACATCATCTTGCCACATGACCCAACCATCATATGCCTAGACATTTACCCAAATGAAATGAAAATGTATACTCACACAAAAACCTGTACATGAAATGTTTACAGCAGCTTTATTCATAACTGCCAAACCTGGAAGCAACGAAGTGAATGGATAAACCGTGGTACTTCATCCATACCACAGAACATTATTCAATGACTTTTTTAAAATGAGTTATCAAACCACAAATAGACATGGAGAAACCTTAAATACACAGTATTAAGTGAAAGAAGTCAGTTTGAAAAGGCCACATGATGTATGACCCAATTATATGATATTCCAAAAAAGGCAAAACTACTATAGTCCAAAGAACAATGGTTACCAGGGATTCCAGGGTTTGAGGTTGTGATATTTAGGGTATTTTTAGGATGGTAGAACTATTCTGTATGATAATATAAAGGTGGACATATAACATTATGCATTTCCAGAACTATACAACACCAAGAGTGAACCTTAATATAAATTAAGGACTTTAGTTAAAAATAATATATCAGTAAGATCAATTAACTGTAACAAATATAATGGCACAAAAACAAGATGTATATGTACAGGGGAGGGAAGTATATATGAATTTTGTACTATCAGCTCAATTTTTTTTTTCTTTTTATTGAGTCGGAGTCTCACTCTGTCGCCCAGACTAGAGTGCAGTGGCCTCTCACAGCCACTGCAACCTCAACCTGCTGGGCTCCAGCGATCCTTCCGCCTCAGCCTTCCAAATAGCTGGAACTGCAGGCGCGCGCTACCACACCCAGCTAAGTTTTTTTTTTTTTTTTTTTTTTTTTTATTGTAAAAATGAGGTCTCACCAAGTTGCCCAGGTGGGTCTCGAACCCGCGGGTTCAGGCAATCCACTCACCTCAGCCTCCCAAGGTGCGGGATACAGGCTGAGCCACCGAGCCCGGCTTATCAGCTCAAGTTTTATATGAACTTAAAAATATTCTAAAATCTAAAGTCTCTTAATTTTTAAAAGTAGTTTTAAGTCCAATTTAGCATGACTGCTCAGAATTACCAGCTTAATAGTATTGTGCCTAATTTTATTGAAATATTTCCTGGCAACTGAGACTACATATCTTATGAAGAGATTAGGTCAATCATCCATTTCTATTTCTTCTTCCTTCCATTGTGCGTTTTTGTTTTCGTTTTTTCAGTCAGAGTTTCACTCTCTTGCCCAGGCTAGAGTGCACTGACATACTCACAGCTACTGCAGCCTCAACCTATTGGGCTCATATGATCCTTCCACGTCAAGAAGCTGAAACTACAGGTGTGCACCATGGCTAATTTTTTTATTTATCATAGAGACGAGGTCTCGCCAAGTTGCCCAGGCTGGTTCTGAACCCCTAGGCTCAGGCAATCCTCCTGGGCTTAAGCAATCTTCCCAACTCAGGATTTTCTGCCTTCCAAAGTGCTGCAAAGTCCATGTTTGTCCTTTATGGTTGCATAATAGTCTATCGTGTATATGTACCTGGCACTACAGGTGTGTGCCACCATATTTGGCTATTTTTATTTTTTGTAGAAATGATGTCTTGCTATGTTGCCTAGGATCGCTTTTGAATTATCCAATCGTGTATAAATTGTATCTGTTTTTTGTATAGCAGTAGATTATTCTGGGCAATGGAATCAATGACAATTTAAAAAAGAAATAGTAGTAATTCTACTCTTCTCTAACAGAGCAAAATACTCCTGAATACATTCTTCTGAGAGATGGCACAATATTTTAGAAACATCTCTAAAATAAGTATGTTTACAATTCAACATGTTTAGTTTTTTCTTTTTCTTTTTTTTTTCTTTAAAGAGACAAGGTCTTGCCGGGCTCGATGGCTCAGCCTGTAATCCCACGCTTTGGGAGGCTGAGGTGAGTGAATTGCCTGAGCCTGCGGGTTCGAGACCCACCAGGGCAACTTGACGAGACCTCATCTCTACAATAAATCAAAAAACTAGCCAGGCGTAGTGCCGCCCGCCTGTAGTTCCAGCTACTTGGAAGGCTGAGGCGGAAGGATCACCGGTGCCCAGCAGGTGGATGCTGGGGTGGCTGTGAGTGTGCCACTGAACTCCATCCTGGG